GATATTCCAACCTAATCCAACCAGCACTTCATAAAGTGCCTTTCTCTTGAGCAAAACACACACAAGTAGATATTTTCTAGTTAATTGAACCAACAGCACCTTCAGAAATCGGAGTCACTATTTTGGCTAAACAGCTTTAATTGTATATATCTAAGGTTTATTGAATGATTGATACTCACCTCTGTTTATCATTTAGTGTGTGCACATCATAAATAAAAGATCAGTCATATTTTAAGAGATAATGAGCTAGGGGATAGATTGGGAAATTTTGTGGAGTTAACAGGTAGATTAAATAAAATGTCTTATTTTAGTCTTCAAAATATAAATGAGACACTTAAATATCTTTTAATTGAAATTGGAAACATGCTAAATTGATAATTGGAATTCTCCAAACTGAAAACAAACACCTTAACTATATAAAAACAGGAGAGAGAGAGAGAGAGAGAGAGAGAGAGAGAGAGAGAGAGAGAGAGAAAGTTTAAGTGGATCCACTCTATAGCCAAAAAAACTAACACTGTCATTTACTAGTTGTGTAACCATGGGCAAGTTAATCTCTCTGAGCTCTACTTTATCTATAAAATTTATCTACAGTATAAGGAAATGTGTAAGACACTTATACTTGAGTCCATGAGATATGAAAGTACTCAATACATTTGAGATATTTTTATTTGTTATTATGAAGGTGGTTCTTTCCCATCAGCTCCACTATCATGAATTCATAAACTTTGTTTCAAGAGTTAGAAAAGTACATGGAATAACAGGCAAGTGCCTAGATCCTTCACAGTGGCCACAGTAGTCTCCAAGTGTTTGGAAACCACTGGAAAATTTTTCTTCTGATTTTGGCCTCCTGGTGGTCTTGGGTGCCTTATTGCTTCAGTTACCAAATATATTTTGATAATTCCCACTCCATAGCTTTTCTCCTCCTTGAACTTCAGGCTTGTGTTTCTAATTGCTTATTGAATCCTCCCAACACTTCAAATGCAATAAATCCAAAGCTCAACTCACTACACATGCAGACCTGATCTTCCTCTCTGACAGATGTGAGGGTCAGGGTTGATTTAGTTGACTAACTGACCAGGCTGGTTCTTATTTTCTCATAAATCTGTTAGAGATTAGAAAAGATCACTTTCCATAATAGAGAAGAGCTGTTCTTCAGTCAAGGATAAGTGAAAAAGGCATTGTTCCCTTCTACAACATTCAATAAGCCATTTCAAGATTCTGTAGCTTGAACCATGACTATTTTTTTTTTCACAGAGAGTATTTTAGTTGCTTCTAAGCCACTTGTGTGTGTGTGTGTGTGTGTGTGTGTGTACTGGGGATTGAATTCAGGGATGCTTAACCACTTAACCAAATCCCCAGCACTTTTTATTTTTTATTTTGAGACAAGGTCTCACAAAGTTGCTTAGGGCCCACTAAATTGCTGAGACTGACTTTGAACTTGAGATCCTCCTGTCTCAGACTCCAAGCTGCTGGGATTATAGGCATGCACCACCACCCACCTGGCTCTGATTGTGCCTCTGCCTCTCATTGGCTGGGATTTTTTTCATCGTAGAGTGTAAATTACAAGCCCTGGGTGACCTGCCTTCACTACTCCAGTTTTCCTCACAGCTTCTTTTGACTTCACACTTTGTTTCAATGCTAAACAATTTTCCATTTTTCCTTTCAACTTTGATGACTTTGTCATTTTGCTGATGCCTTTAACAATATCCTTTCCATAATGCCTACTCATTCTCCAAGGATAATCTCAGAAAGCATATCTCTAGGATGGCCTCCCTGACACATTTGGGCTTGGCTACCTGACAGCTCCCTGGCCCCCTTGCATCCCTGGCATGCTTACTGCACTGCATTGACAAGACATCCCCTTCTCTTGACATCTAAGTGGTCAGCATATCTCCAGGTTAGTGCTTTCCTATCCTGCATCCCTAGCACTATGCTAAAATTTAGTGAAGGAGGCTGAGGAAAATGTGTGCTGAAGATGTTCAAGCAGAGATAAATCAGAGGCTCAACCAGTGTTTACTGGCTGCATACAGAAAACAACTAAGGATCTTTTGAGAATACAGATGCCAGCAACTCATTCCAGGTCACTGAAGTCAGAAGCTTTGGAGGGGAGTCTGGGTGTTTAGGCGTTTAAAACTCAGGTATTGATAATGTGCAGCTGGGGCTGGGAATCAACTGGCTCTATGATCACTGAAAAATGGTCTGGTGAATGGTTTCCAGAGTCAGATAAAGGTAGATGCTTAAGGCACCTTTACTCATGAAGTTCTATGACATGATTGCTGATATTATGTTTAATTTTTTCAACATATTGCCCCCCACATTATTATAATGTTTTGTTTTGCACTCAGGTGACTTCGTTGATCAGCCAGGCACCAGATTATGATCACCCTAAAACCTTAATGCTCTTGAAAGAATATCCTCCAAATTCAGACATTTGATTAAAAGATTGTGAGAAAATAGTCTCAAGGGGCGTTTTACATGCCTCATAGATTCCAATAGAGATATCAGAAGTCTCAAGTGTAAAACCTTCCTGGTTCTCTCAAAATGCCATATTTGTAATATGCAAACCATTGCTGCCTCTATATAATGATTATAGTGAAAGCAGTGAATTTGCTTTCTTTTATAATATCTGGGCCTTCTATAATAAAGGCAGTACCATATTTTGACTCCATGTACTTTTATAATGAACAAGACTTGGTACAAGTTCTATATGGAATAGAAATGCTAATTTGGAATTAATTCAAAAATTATTAGTGTTTGTGGGAAGAGTAAGTGGCTACAATTTTGCCATTCTGAGTACTTTTTAAGAAAAGGAATGTTTAAAAATATAATGTTAGGAGCAAAATACCCTGGAGTACTGAAATTTCAAAACTAATATTCAAACTCTGAATCTGTTTGATTAAAAAAGTTTAATGAGCTATAAAATAAATACACTTCCATTAAATATTAAATAAATTATTTACAACTTGAAAAAATACTTTTTATCTCCATGCATCTCTTTATGTACAGAAATTATTTAGCATAAAAAAGTGACAATTGAAAGTTTAAAACCATCAGAACAAAAAGGTTCCATTTTCTTCACTGAAAGGAGGACCGATTCATCATTTACAGTTGTGACTTCGCAGTGACTATGATCTGATACCCTGTTAAAAAATAAAGTGTTAGAGAATAAGCTTAATTCCAACATAGTTTTAAAAAATTTCAATGAAAAATCAGCAATCAGAATTTCTGCCATTTTTTTCAAAATTGTTTTATGAAAAATGCTAAAAGCTTTTCAGAAACAAAATATTGCTTTAGCTTGAATTCTCTTTCATTTCTGCTTGGGTTATAGGCCTCCTTAGAAAACTAAAGATGCTCATACCAGTTGCATACATTTCTGCTTAATAAAAAAAGCAATAACCGTCATGAAAATTAGGTTTCCTAACTAAATCTACACAGTGGACATAATTAAAAACAGAGATTAAGTGGCTCATTGTACTTATGATATGCAGTTAATTTAGGATAATTAGTACCAAGAGCATAATAATAGTAGCTACCAGTTAATAGGCAGCTACTAAATGCCAGCACAGCATATTCCTTTTCCTAAAATTATTCTGGGACCTACACTGAGAAATCTTGATGGCACCAAATAACCAAAAATCTACCCTATTTATACTGGTGGTCTTAACTTCATTACAATAGGCCAATACATTAAAATTTTGATGTAATAAATACTGAGTATAACACTGCTATAAATAATGATTTATTTCATGAGGTATGGGACTAATTCTCTAACAGGCTGAGAATATAATATCTGTACCTAACCAATGTTAAATGGAGTGGGGTTCTCTAAGCATCAGAATCATCTGGAACACTCATTAAAGATAAAAATTTCTGATTCAGTAGATTGAGTATTGGGCATAGGAATATTCACATTTAACAAGCATCTCAAGTAACTATTAAACCCACTGACATTAGGAAAACAGCGCCTTAAGGAGGTGACATCTTCAATGTCTGAGGAGATGAAATTCCTTCTTACGACTGACTTTAAGTGTACCCTTGATTTCTTTTCCTCCCTCTTCCACTGGAAGTTTTCTTTCATGAACTCCTTTCTTCAGTTGTCAATGAATTATCCCTCTTCATACCTTCTTACCTTCTACTTACAACATGCTAACTCTCCCTTTTTATGTTTTGGTGCTGAGGATCAAACCCAGAATCTTGTACCTGCTAAGCATGCATTCTACCACTGAATCCTATTCTCCAATCCTACAGCTCTCCCTGTGGACAAAAGTGTGTATGTGTGTGTGTGTGTGTGTGTGTGTGTGTGTGTGTGTGTATTATTTATTTATTTACCAAGTTACATACCCCTCTCTCTGTTTCTACTTCCTTCCTTTAAAAGGAGTATTTAATCTACTGTCCCCACTTCCTCAGTCTTTTAGAACAAGCACCCTACTCTGGCTCTCCAATGTATGAGCTCAACCTATCATTACAATGTTCCCCTTCTCTAATATTCACTGGAGCCAGGCTGTTTTCTAAAATGATCTGTTTCATCTCTCAGTATTTAATACCCATCTTCCTTTTCTTCATAATTGCTTTTTACCAATCTCACAGGTCCTCTAAGGTTTACCTTCAATGTCATGCTAAATATATATAATTTCCTGCTACCAAAATGCCTCTCACAAGATTTTTTCATTCATCAGAAATTTTTCATACTCCATTGGTTCCTTTCTGGTGACTTCCCTTAGTATTCTGATTCTCTGCATTCTCCCCTATCTAAATGTTATGTTCCTTGAGAACTCTCTCACATCTGTATACCTTTTAATACTGAATAAGTACAGAGCCCATTCTCAATACCAAACTCAATCTCATACTCAAAGAATAATACTTTCATGTAGCCATTAAGAGTATGTTCATAATTAAAAACATATTCCTCATTTTTCTTGAGATTAATAGTGCTATATTTTTCACGAGTATAGGATATAATGTAAAGTCAAGTTTACAAGTCAAACCTGTATTATCTTCAGTTATGCTATAGCATGTGCATGTCCATTTTCTTGTTGAAGTTTCTTTTGTTCTTCTGCTTCTTCTTCAAATTCTCTGAAGTATCTTTTTCGAAGCCTTGAGAGAAGAAGATGTTCTACTGTTACTAAAATCCCATCCATCTATATGTTGACTGAGGTTTCCCCAAGTACAAGGGATTCCTTCTCATGAGCTCTTATAGACAACAGAGCAGCATACTTCATGCTAAACAAAAGCTTAAGCCCGACTATAAAATACCACCAGTATTCTCTTTTAAGGTGACATTTATGTTGCCTTTATATAAACATATTTCCAGAGAACAGAGGTTTAAATGCATCTTTAAGATGTAAACTTTCAGAAGGCATGGAACATATCCAAATGCCTTTTTTTTTTCCTGAAGAATTTAGCACAGCTGCCAAATACATACTTGGAAGAGATGGTGGTATAGTTTTATAACACATGGATTGATGTTTATACACACCAATTTGAATGATCAGAATTTTTTGAAACCAGCTTACAAAACAAGTTGTTTTATTTATTTCTAAATATAAACATTTCCTTCTAATTTCATACATTGCTATTAAAATTCAGTGTATTGAAAAAAAAATGTTGCCACTATATAAGCAATTCAATTTTTAGTAGGTCTTTAATGAATCTACTAAACATTATCATCAAAATCATATGGACTTTCATTATGATATTTAAAGAAAAAATTTACTTTAGTTATTGAAAACCCAGTAACTATGGCTTAGGCTTATGTTTGTTTTGTTTCATATACAAAAAGAATACAAGAGTAAAGTGGCTTAATTTTAAGAGTGCTAACATGATAGCTTTCCATATTTTTCTAAAGGATTATTAAATACTGCAAGTTGAATGACTGAAAATTTTAATTATTGCAAAACACCTTTCTTAACAAGCACTTTTTCTTCTATCCCCCTATATCAAATAGTAATGATTTATCTGAGGATATCTTCCTAAACACATTTCTATATCTGACTTGAGGTACTAGAAGATCAGAATAATTCCAAGGTGTGCAAAACAAACTTAAACTATACATCAAGCTTCATGTGCCTGATAAAACAGTTCTTTACATGCCATTTTATCACTATCTGATATGAATTTAAGATAATGGTAAACAATAGCAAAAGATAACCACTTCTTTCCTGAAGGACAGCAGTAGTAGATCATGTACAGGATCCAGTGAAAAGTAATTTACCAAGACCTAAAATTAGAATAATGAGTCCACTACTTTTCCCAAGCTCCAGTGGCACCTGAGTCATCACAGAGCCATTCATGCCCTCCCCCAACTTCCCTCATTCAGTATCTTCTGTTTGGTAGACAAAGCCGTTTTATGTACCCATCAGTGCCTACTACATAGAGCAGGCCAGTTCTAGCTTTCATTGGTCATGAAGAGAAGTATGTGATGTTGTTAGTAACAGAGGGAAGATACTGTTGGAGTGAAGCACTAATAGAATTGTTCTTGCTTCCTACACCATGCCATCTGGAGGAAATGTTTTGGTTACACTCTCATTGTTATTTGACAATAAGAAAATAGGCATAAACTGTGAATAAATTATCACCGTGCTATGAAACTACAAACTCAGGATTTTGCATTCCAAGACAAGCAGAGACATGTCTCTTCTGGGCTGCCAATTTGAGGTTCTTTGTGATTTTTTAATACCAAGGCAGTGTGTCTGATGCTATGAATCTACTATTATTTTCTGGGCAACATGCTTCATCTTAAAATATTCATAGAAGATACCAGCACTTTCTGAGATTTAGAAATAACTGAGAGGAAAGATGGCATGCAATAAAACCATCCATTTTTTAAGTTCAAAAAATTGCTATGAAATTCTGAAAGAGAACTTAATGTGTTGAGTTTCTATGGTAGGCAAAGTAATATAAATTCTGACTGTATTATTCAAAGATCATATGCTACCAAAAAATAACTAATTCAAAATATTCTAGTAGAGTGTGATAGAAATATTGAAGAAAATTAACCTTATTAGGAATTGTTAAGCTGTGCCATACTTACTGGACTGTAATAACAACAGCAACAGCTGTGAAGCTCGTAGCAGAGACAAAGGCAGCTATAGCTGCTAACGCAACTTTTGAGAAATCTCTGTCACCCATGCTGTGAGTCTTCATGGATTTTTCTCCACACCGTTCACCAAAATAATCATGATGACATCTGCAAACAACCCACATTTAGAAATTATAATCACTAAAAACGCCTTATATATTCCCAGTTCACCTTGTAAGTCAAAAACAGCTATGTAATTCCAACATTTTAAAAAAGTTATGTATTTGTATTTCAAAATCATGAGACACAGAACACATTCTAGCTAAATATCCATTAGTCAAGATTAGTTTGGGTGTGTTAGTCCAAGAAGACACACCTTGCTATTCTTTGTGCTTCTTTTATGACCAACTGATGAGTTCATTGACTTATACAGTTAATATATTCCACTATCATCTAATGTGTTAGCAGTTTGGGGGGGCTAGAAGACAAAGTGGCTAGAACAACATGAAAAATTAGGTGAAGAGTTTATTAAGAATCTTTTTTTTAAAAAATACATATTGTAAAACAATGATTTATAGCAGTGATCCTCAAAAATATAGCCCACAAATCCAATCTGGCCATTTGCCAGGTTTTTTACAACTCATAAGAATGAGATTTAATCCTTTTAATTGGCTATATAAGTAGAAATACAATCTCAGCCCACAAAACCTAAATATTTTCTACCTGATTACTTAATAAAAAGTGTTCTAATCACTGGTTTATACACTGGAAAAAAAATCAGTGGTTTCTGCAGCTAGGGATTTTTCAGATATGGTGTAGGAAATACATAGTTCTTTGTAATTCTTTGAAACTTACTTGCATGTTACTGCCTCCAGATTCTCTATATATTTGCATTCTCCATGAATGCAGAAATTTTGAAATTCTGTATCACATGGATTTTTCTTCTTTTTGTTTCTTCTATTTTTTCCACTTTTCCCTCCTTTTTTCTTTCTTTTGGGTTTATCTGAAGTCTTTTCACTTTCTGTTTTGTTTTTCTTGGGCTTAATTACCTGTTCAACTGAAAAAAGAAAATAAGATTTCTTAACAATCTCTCTCATCTTGAACATTATTTTGGATCCATGAGACAAAGAAATCAGAGCAGTGAGAGCCCACAGGGAGATAACAACCACGTTTGTTTCGTTATTTAACACAATACACACAATAAGTAGGCAGAGAATATCAGTTGTATGGCAATTAAACATCTGAACACCTTAGTTATTTTATTTACACATTTTTATTTTGAATTATTTGTATTGAATTTGTATTATCATCATTAGTATTAATAGTAAGACTTATGTGTCTAAGAAAATCCATTAAACATTTTTAGCATTTCTTGAATTTCTAATCATTCCACGTTCTTGGCAATGAGTATCAATTTACTTGAATCTAGAACATGACTGCATGCACTGTTAGCCATATGACATAATGAGGAAACTGAAATTTAGTAAAGGCAAGAAACTTGTCCTAGGATATATAGCTAGAAAATGACTGTGCTGGGATGACAAAAGCTTGTTATTTTTTCTTAATACTCTTCCTTCTCTTTGGAAAGGTCAATGTCATTGATTAAAATGACATTGAACTTGGGGTTTATTTGCTGATTTTATTTACCTATATTGGCCCTGTGCTCACTATTATAGTTGGGAATTAGTAGACACTATTGGAGAGTGCAAAAAACTGAGGATTATATATTAATCCATTTTTCCAGTTCACAGATTACAACAGATCACAATTGATACCTTTCACAGTGCTCATTTCTGTGTTTGATCTATTTAAAAATAATCCAGGAATATTTGTCAACTGATGTCTCAGACATTTAACTTAACAAATCTATAGAAAGTTTGTTCAGGGTATAACTTTTATGCTAAAGTCATAGAGGGGAAGTTTCCATTTAGCGGTATGCATTCTGTTCTACTAAAACCTTAATAGGTTTATATGATGAACTATTTAGCAAGCAGATCCCAATGAAAAGAGAAAATAGCATTTATCATAAAGGTCACACAGTACCCATTAAATAGAAAACTTCAGAACCACAGTGTGAAGGTTAACAAGAGTATGATAAATAAATATTATGAATATTTTGACAGGCTATTATAATAACACTAACAAAATTCAAATTAGGAGAACTAACAGGTGGTTATGCAATTTTTATATTGAAATTTTCCTCTGATCCAAAAAAGTACAAGTTAGAGTAAGTCCTCTAAGAGAAGCATTTTAAATGAATATTACTCTACTTTATCAGAGAGATTACAAATCATAGATAGAGGCAAATAATAGTATCTATGCTAAAGTGTGGCAATGGACATTATACCCATGGACATTTAACTGAACAGCTTTCCAAAGAAGTTCTTCCAGTGATCTCATACTATTTTATAATGCATTGCAATCTGAGCACTAGTTATTAGCCCTAGTAATAATGGATTCAGCTTTCTGTTGTCTTAACAACTTATATATAGTTAAGAGACAAGTTGCTAGATACCTGGATGGTCTAATCTCATCCAACTGTAAGAATTGCAAGTGAACCTTTTCCCTAGCCCAAGTTCAGAAGTAAGGGAGTACAGAGGTCACTACATCTTTGCCCAGCTCCTACTTAAACCACTCTCTTTCCCTCTGGTTCCACTTTTCTCTCTTCTCTAGCTTTGGGATTCAGGGAGAGGAGAAGTCAGGGAAACTGGTCAGAAAAGAAGAGGCCTTAAAAAGCTCTGAAACTTTCTTTCCCTGCTCCAGATGGATGCCCCCAGTACATGAGATCTGACTTATTGATGGCCTCTTCTTCCATGAAACTCCAAAGTAGAATGAGGGTACTGGGCAACATTTATCTCTTTCTTTGGTATTCATTTAAGTAAAGGGTCTTTTAAAAAGATCAGATAACAGGAAAAGTGAGTCATATTTTAACTAACAAATGGAATTTGGAGTTAAATCATGATTTTAGTGATATAAAATTTATGCATACTTGTTCTTTATTATTTCTAGAAGGCATTATTGTCATTATCAGTTTCTCAACACCAAGTATTTTAAAGGATAAAAGTCAAATTCCTCCTGTCCCATTTACTTTTTTCTGTTGCCCTGTGTTAAAATGCAGTTATCTGGGGAAGGATGAGCTGGGGAAAGGGGATACAGATGCTAAGAAACAAAGCAAATAGGAATGGTTAAGGTCTACTTCTGTCTCAGATTAGAGTTCACATGGCATAATGTGAAGGAACATAATATCTGGAATAAAACAGAATGGGGTTCTAATTCTGGCTTAACTGCTACCTGTGCAGCCTTGGGCAACACAATCTTTTTTAACATCATTTATTGCATCTGTAAAATGAAAATAATGATGCCTACACTTAGTAAAGTTGAGAAGATTTGATTTAAACATAACATCAATTAATCCTCTAGACATAGGGATGTGATCCTATATAGAACTTTCTGACTCAGTTTTTACCTAGAAAGGTATGCAATTCACACTTTTCTGACGCAGTTTTGCTCCTGTAAACCCACATCCCTTCAGCTACATTTCCCCTTTAACCTCTACTTACCTCTGACTGAATCATCCACGATGTAGCCAGATATTTGTAGTTCAGCATCATATTCTAAATAGTCATAGTCAGTTCCTGAGGACACTTCAGTACTAGAAGGCGTTTCAGTCACAGGGGAAGTCTCAATTCCTGGAGTCGTCTCATTTCTTGAAGCAACCTCAGGTCCACTAGTACTGTGGTTCTTGGACAATGGTTCCCCTTTCCCAGAGTCAGTGTCATTGAGATCCAATCCAACAGCATGATGGCCTGCAGGGGAAAGATTAAGGAAAGAAAAGATGAAGCAGGGTGCCTCTCTCACCAGCCAGCTATGTTAAGTAGAAGTGTTTATCTTCTGATATCAAAGCAGTTATTGCACATGTGCTATTGTTTTTGATTGAGTCACTTCACATTTTGCCAAGAAGCAAAGTCAGCTGTTCCAATTACAGAGCTTCTTTTATCCAGGGTTTTCTTTCCACAGATAGTCTACATTAATCTCCACATTTTAAAAAAGGGCCAAATTAATGCAACATAAACACTTAACAGGTAATATCTAAATATTCCCATCACTTTGCATTCCAAATTCATTTGTATTGCTAAAATGCTATCTTGCCCCATCTTTGTAGGTTCTACATAAAGACTAAATTTTCTTAACATATGCTCACATTTTTTAAAATCATGTATATATAAAATGTAAAAGTCAATGTAAAAAGTAATATCAATTTAATAATTATCATTGCCATTTTTTCATTATTATTTTTATTTACACAGGAAAGAAACTTGACTAGGTAAGATTTTGGGTCCAGAGTTTCAAGACAGTACTTTATCTTTGTTTTAGGTCTCAATAAAACAGCATCAGAAAGGTGATTTTAATCTTTCCGCAGGACATGAAAGTAAAAGGTGAAAATACAATCAACTAGACAAGAGGAGACAGAGAATTTAGGCAGGAGGCACCAAACACTCCTGGTTCAGGAATTAACTACTCTGTTGAAATCTTTCTGAACCTTTCTTTATCTGTACAACCAAAGGTTAAGATGAAAGGATCTCTAAAGTCTCCATCACCTGGACTAAAGTAAAAGTACAAGTATTCTTCAGGACACTCCTCCTGGCTGGATGCTAGAGACACTTGTCTGGGTTTTCTCTCTTCTCCAAGGGAGTAACCTTAGAGGGTGATCGCCTCCAGCGGGACAGATTTCTTTTTGGAGAAGCAGTAGCAACATTCAAAAGGCGACAGATTCTGCCTGCCTGGAGAGAATCACCAGGTAGTTCAGAGCCAGCAGATCCTCACCTGAGCCGAGGATCAAGAGCCACAGCACCACCGGCGCCTGAGGCAGCAGCGGAGTTCTCATTGGTCCCTCGGGACGTCGGCGTCTGGGTCTCTGGGGCAACTCAGACGGCAGCTACTGGCAGAAGGAAGAAGTGGTGGGAAAAAAAGGGCACAAGAGCGGCTGTGCTCCTGTGTTCCAAGGCCCGGCCCGGCCCCGCCCGGCTCGGCTCCGGGTGATGGGAGCCGCCGGCGCCCTGGGCTCCACGCAGGATCTCTGGGTTGCTACTGGCTCGCAGGCAGCAAGGTGTGCGAACGTTCGCTAGGCGCCCGCGCACCTGCCGCTTTATAGGGCCGGGCGGGGAGGGAGCCACCGCCTGTGACGTCACTACCGCGGCTGTGGGTGGAGGCGGGAGGCCGCCCCAGAAGTTACTACCCCAAAACCACACACGGATGGCGGGGGCCACACCTCCCTCGTGCGTAAAGAGCCGCGGGGAGGAAATAGAAAGTCAAACCTCTAGGTGCAAGGAGAAAAAAATATATATATATCCATATTCTAGAGTGGAGAGGTAGTACTGGACAGTCAAAAGTTCCAAAGTTTCAAACTATCTGAAAATAAAATAAAATAAAATAAAATAAAATAAAATAAAACCTCTGTATATATTTTGGTTGATCTCAACGACAGAAAAGTTCCATGATGCAAAAGTACTGTTAAGACCAAGAGTGACTAAGCAAGGGTAGCTTGTCTTTAGTGAAGATAAATGAAGTTCATTAAATGAGGAGAGAATCTCCTAAAGGGAAACTTCTTCAGGTGTGATGGGCTTTCATCCATCAAAGGCCTTTTGCCACCCACTTGAAATGGCCAGAATTTCAAACCATCTCCCTCCTCACTTTTTAGGTGGTTCAGGGTTCCTGGCCAAAATTAGTATTTAGTGATCTCTTACTATGCACTTAAAATTTTACCTATACTATCTCACTCAGTAACCTGTTGGTAAAGTCTCATTTCCCCATTTTACAGGGAGATAAAGGGCAGATTTTACAAAGCAAAGAAGAAATTGACACAGCATGTAATGGCAAGTGTCAGGTAGATTTGATTCAAATTCATATGGCCCTGAAGTTGGCCTCTTGCCACTCTGATAAAGAAATATAGGACTAAACTGATCTCTGAAAAGAGGATTTCTGGGCAGAACAATGCTTAGGAAGAATCCATCTCTGCTGGTAACATTGACATTTGGGCAAAGGGTAGTGCCAGAGGCTCTGCCTCTCAAATCCCAAGATAAAAGAGTCAGCTTCGACCACCCTTTTAGAACCCAGAAGGCATTTAATCATAAGTAGATAAAAATGTAGAGGAGAGAGGGAGCTGCTGAATTTAACTTTGATGTAGTGGCAGCTCCAGAACTGGAATTTTCCTGACTTAAGGAAGAGAAACAAGTTGCATTGTTCTCCCTCTTTAACTGTCTCCTTGACCTGGAGATACATATCTCTTCCCTGATAGTGCCAGTAAAACAGCCTTTTTAGGAATGTGGGTCACAGTGCCTCTTGTCCTCATTCTGAGAAACTTTTAAAAAGCTTACTGGCCTTTCAGTGGTATATCACAGTGAGTAGGCTAAATAATGCCATACATTTTGCAGAATAAAATGAGCAAGAGTCATGAATCTTGTCTTCGAGTCAACATTTGTTGAAAGTGCATTTTGTGTAAACCACCTGTTATATTGTTATGGGGGCAGGGGGTGGGAGTTAAAGAGGAAGATTAAATAGTCACCAGATGCCTGGGTTTCAGGAGTTCGGTGGTGTGGCCCAGACAGCATCTCTGGTTATCCTGGGAAGTTTGAGGAAAGATGGAGAGACCCCCTGAAAGGCCTTCACAGCAGAAAGTTCAGATTAAAAAAAAAAGACCCAATGTTGAGGTGTGACCAAGTGTGGGAACTAAGGCTGGAAAGGTGGCACTGCATATTCCAGAGTGAAGCAGGGGCCTGCACTGTCATCCTTTTTGGTGGATGAGGCGATTGTGATTCAGAGATTAAGACTTGCCCAGAATTTCAAAAGGTGATAGTAGAGATTTTGTTTGAAACTCAGGAAGTTGGCTTATAATGTACATTTTGTTTCCCTAGGTGTCAGTTTTGTTCTGTTCCTCCAATTTTCCTTTTATAAAATTTATTTTTTAATTAACAAGTGAAAATTATAGCTATGATGTACAACATAATGTCTTGATATGTTTTCACTTGGGCTATATCGAGCTTTTTAACATATGCCTTACCTCCTATTTTCTTACTCTTTATTCTATCATCAGAAATGGTCCGCTTTCTATTTGAAGTGAAATCGGATTCTTTACATTAGAAATTGCTTAGTCTTTCTCCAATTGGAAATTCAGAGGATGATAATTTACATTTCTGTGGCACATAACCTAGATCGTGGAAACAGAATAGCTTAGAGCTTAATATGAGATTTAGAGTTGAATCAATCTAGGTTTTCATATCCAAACTCTACTACATACTAAATTCCTGATATTTAAAAAACTCAAATTCCTCACCTGAAAATATGAATAAAGAAACACCTACCTGCTATTAAGCAGGTCAAAGGAGATAAAATATATAAATACGTAGCACAGACCATAGCATATGTTAAGTCTCAGTAAACGGTAACCTTTACATTATGAAATTATGCTATTGCAAGCACATTAAAGAACCAAGTAATTTTTATAAATGGAGATGCTCACAGAACAAGTGAAATCATCCCCTTCATTATTTTCAAGCCATGAACTTTGTACATACTTCACACTAAGACTAACCATTTTGAGCGGCTTATGATGCATCAAAGGGTAGCATAGGGGCATCATCATAGTCGCATCACAGTGCATCACCTACTGATGTGTCATGACATTCTGGAACATGTGCCTGAGTCGTAAACCAGCTTCATGTAAATGAAGGACTCTCTATGTTCTGCATGCTAGCTTGAGACAAAAAGGAATAATTTCAACAAATTTGAATAGGAACTCTACATTATCCTGATAAACAGATAGTTCCCCTAACTTAAGAGGCTAAGGGCAGCCTAAGTCAAATGCCTCTAACCTGCCATCCCTGTTGGTGCCTACTATCCTGTATCCTAATATTTGAAATGCTCATAAAAAAACTTACTTTTATTCCACTAAAATATATGCTGTAATCAAAACTCTGGTCATGAACTTATTCAAATGACCTTTCATTTTTACAGACAGTGCAAAATCTGAGTATTACAATATGATCAATTTTATTATGAGTCATGAACCCCCAGACCACAATTTAAAAATTCTCCTTCTATAGATAGTGTTTCCTATGTCATTAACAAACATATTAATTCTATTTAGATGTTTATAATGTTCTACTTTTTGTCTTGGAATTTACCCATGCTACAGAATTATTTTATTATTATATTATTTCTAATTTCTTCGAGAAAAAGAGCCTACAGGCACAGTGGCACAAACCTGTAATCCCAGTAGCTTGGGAAGCTGAGGCAAGAGGATCACATGTTTAGGCCAGCCTCAACAACTTAGCAAGGCCCTAAGCAACTTAGTGAGACTCTATCCTAAAAGAAAAAATAAAAAGGGCTATTGATGTAGCTCAGTGGTTAAATGTCTCTGGGTATTCCTAGTATACCCCCAACCACCAGAAAACCCTTAATTGAACTTRGAAGTTGAACAACTCAACACACAAAGCTAAATTATTTGTCTTTTACTACCTTTAACATCATAACTTTTGCAGGGCAAGGATTGGTAGATGTGAATGAAAGCATCAGGAGATACAACAGAAACTAAGTAAACCCAATATACAAATAATTTCATTTATGCAAAAGAAAAAATATGAATCTTCTAGGTACTTCATTTGTTTCATCAAATACATTTTGAGAAGTAGGCACTATTCTAGGCACTGGGGAGAGAACTTTGAATAAGTCACAATGTCTTTGTTTTCAAGGACTTTATATTCTATACAGAGAAACAATATCTAAAATGAATTTGGAAGTGAAAAGGGCTAGAAAGGAAATAAAATATGTGAAATAGAGGGCTTTGAAATGGTGCAGGGAGACRATGCAGAATAAAACACAGTCCCTACACTTAGTAGTTCACATTTTCTCTTTAGAGGAGTACAATGGCAGGATAATATGGAGAGTAGTATCCTACTGAATAATAAGTGTGGATGATCAGAGGTATAGAGACACACGTGGGCAGGAAGAACAAGGGATGCAAAACAGATATAAATATTGAATTGGGCCTCAGAAATGTGGAGGGGTAGGACTTTTAATCTAGGAATTCATGTCATTTCTTCTGTACCCCTCTAAGCACTGCAAGGCAAAGGCGTTCTTTAGGACTTCAAGGAGTGGACTGAAGAGAATCACCTCAGAATGTTCTCACTTTCCATTCTCCTCTCTTAAATCCATAGGTTTGGAGGCAGGTCCAAGCCTCTGTATTTTTTTTTTTCTTTAAGAACTCTCAAGAAAATTCTCACATGCACTCTGAAGAAGAATCACTCCACTAGGGGATAACCAGGTAGGAAAAAAAAAATCAAGATTTCTACATTCAAGGAGATTATAAAGTATCAGGGCTGCACATTCATGTGCATGGAAGTTTTGTTGGAAATTCGAAGAATGGAGAAGTGAGGAGGACTACACTGGCTGAGGCAGCACACAAGCAAAGTGAGAGGAAGACACTTATCTCTAAAACACTCATGTTACAAAATGATTCAAACAGATGTCTTTGAAAATAGGGAACTCTACTGTGCCAAAAATATGTTTKAATATATTTTTTTAAATCCACTTTGGATATATTTGTTTAAGAACCAATTTGTCACATAAAAGCAATAGATCTATGCCAGTTTATTATAAATCCTCAGTAATTTGATTCTGAATATAAGACCACAAAACAGGGTATCTGCAACCATCATATACTGAAATAGGAAGCATTCAAAGTGTAGTAAGCTATTAATTTTTTATCAATTTGTAATTTTAGAATAAGATTTGGCATTTTTACTATTAAAAAATAATATTATAAAGTCAGGTGATTGAGGTGATCAAAGTCCAATGAAGATATTTATGGACTGACTTACGAATGGTAGT